TAATCAAGGTACGATACGGTATGAAAAAAGAAATGTTGGAGTTGAGAAATTCGATGGAACATACATATACAAATAACTATGGGGAGTATCTTACTCCCTTAAAAATTTCTTAATCCAAAAAAGATTAGAGATGTATTTATGTGAAATGCGCGTTACTTATATTTACTATGAAAACGATCTCGTTGTGGGTTATCTAAATCCAATAAGGTTATCTTTCTCTTTTAATTTTGATTGTCACAATATAGAGTTTCCTAATACTTGCTTTACTTACTAACTTTTATACGAATTTCTTGATATTTTTAAGTCTTATTTTATATTCCATATAAGTTAGGTCGCCTTTTTTGCTCCATGTTAAAAAGAAAATTGTATGTTGTGCGCTTCATTAATTGGTGCGTGCCTTTGCTGTTGGCCAATTGCATGTCATCTACGCCAGGGAATTCCCCACAATAATGATAAATATATTATAATAAATACGCAAAATGGCAATATATAAATTTTTGAAATTCAACCACATAATTCTACTCAATTCCTCTGCCTCCCAGAACACGGCACATTCAAGACTGGTTTAATTTCATTCCCTTTTCAAACATGCTACAAAGCCATTAATTAATGAAAATATATTATGTACAGAATCCCCCCTGTATACGGTATATATACGCTCTCTTAAATACGTACACATGTGTATAAGTACAGGAGTACAATTGTAGAGTCTGCCCTGATATATAAAGTTGGTCATTCCCTTGAATAAAATAAAACTTAAGAAAAATAGATAATAAGTAGAAGAAAATAAATAGTATGCAGTCAATTTCATTCTCAACCGGTTTCTGGGCAGCCGTCTTTTTACAATATTTATTTATTATTTATAGGTGCTCGTGAACTTATTTCGTCAATTTATGTTTGTCACATGCTTGGATTTTCTTGCCAACTCTACCCCTTGTTTTGTTTCTTAATCGTTTGATCACTTGGACATATTTTATTCCCCTGCCAAAATAAGCAACTGACTGATCAGGAACTTGACGTGTGGTTGAAGGAATGGCCTGGTATCAATTCGAGTGTGTAGCTGCTTCATCTCCCTCATCCCTAACGTGACATTTGACATGATGATGAAATTATAGAATTGAAGGGAGATTAGGAGGATTTTAGAGTGTTGTAGAAGAAAACGGGAAAGAAGGATTAGAATAAGTACATATCCCTTAGTGTTTTATCATGCAATGGGGAAATATTCTTTTCGTCCAGGTATATTATTAGTGAGATATCTCTATCTAGACTATGAATTAAATCGAGTTTTGATTATATATATATAGCTAAAACAAAAACAAAAAAGACGCCTAAAAGGAAGTGAAAACATTTATAAAACTCGTTTTGTACTAAGAGTAGTGAAGTATTCTATAGAAACTTAAAGAGTTTACTTAGTTATTACTTATTAGACTTTAAAAATTACTCCTTTAAAATGTATAAGATTTTGTGGTTAGCTCTCAATGCAGTCAAAGTCTACCTTCTAGGTAGAAAAATATTATTGATAGAAGTGGAAGAATAAAAGTGGTAAGTGCCATGCATGTTGCTACTCTCTGTGCACGCTCCAAATTTTAACTACCCCATCTTGAGCAAAAAATAACTCAAGATAGTGTTACTAGTACAGTTGACCAAGGTCGTATTCCACAGGTCCTAGTATCCTAGGCTACTTAGACTCGGTTGTTATCTCGTCGACATGTTATTTAGCAGGTGGACTATGGGAGATTAATGAACGAGAGGACGATAGGAGAGAAGATGTGTTTGGGGTGCCTTCCTTTCCCTAACCGCTGGAGATAACATGCGAAAGGATAGAAGGATGATCCATGGTAATCGAGGTGCGAAAATCGCTAATATGGGGATTGGCTCAATGGTCAAGCAACCAATCCCCCTCCTACACTGATCCACTAGCCCAATGTCACTTCAGCTAGCTTCACGATGGAGGGATATAACCTCTCTCCTCTAAATGGGTTCTACCTATCCACACACTAGGACTTTAAGTTGATGGTCATGCACTCGATCCCTAGCATTGCCTAGGTGGATGCCTAATAGAGAGGGGTACGATCATCTCGTCCACCATATTAGACTCCTATGATCAACCATCCAAATCAATCATGCCAAGACCGCTCAATCCACACATATCCTAGACCAAACCCTAGCTAGGCAATCATAGATAGCACATGGAGAGACAAATCCAAAGCATAATAATCATAGATGGAGCATTAAAGCTCTAGGCAAACACAATCCATCCATAAATCACATGAAAGAGGATGATAAATCCATACCACCTAAATTTCAACTAGGGCAAATGGGATACAAACAATCTCACACTATTTGATGTAAAGAAAGAACAATCATCAAATATACATAGATAAATAAGTTCAAAATCATTCATAAATCAAGCCAAAATATCCAATTACATATCAAACTCTTGGTTAACATTTGGGGGACAAAAGCCTCGGAAAGAAGGGTCTTCTTGTACTGGAAAATCCTCCTCCTAAGCTTTTCTCCACTTCTTCTACTATTCTTCTCCAACCTTTTGCTTCTCTCTCTAACCTCACTCTAGAATAAAAAAAATCTGCCAAAATTCACTTATGAATTGGGGGAAGACCCCTTATTTATACAGTTATGGAAAAATGGACAGAATCGTTAAAAAAACTCGGTGTTATTTTCTTTCTAGTTGCGTTTTGACAATTTAGTCCCGCGCTTGAGGCTGTGACCTGCACCAACAACCCTATAATTACCTAGGTACTTTGTTATAATTGACGGGGTGAGATGACCTAGTGTGAGAAGGGAAGGAATTGCACAGGCCACGATCATGTTAAAGTTGTGACCATCTTAATGGTTGCGATCTTCATGGGTGTGACACGAACTTGAGGAGGCAATCAGGCAACAATGAAATGGACAGAACTTCTCGCGATCTGAGTCACGGCCAATGAGGGTTTCAGCTATTAAAAAGATCACGACAGTGACCTCTAGATCATGGTTGTAATCTCATAATGATGTCTAGGATCTTGGTACTTGAAAATCAGGTAAAGATGCAAAGTTTTGGGTGATTCAAAGTCATTTTGTCGAGGTCACTGCCAGATTATGGCTATGACCTTTAGACCACACTCTTGAGGCTGTGACCTGCACCAACAACCTTATGATTACCCCCTTTACTACAATTGAGAAGGAAGAGTCGCGCTAGAGTGAGAAAATAGGATTTTGGGCAGTTTCTAGTGAGAGCAAACAGCTTGGAGGATCTAAGGAAGGAAGAATCCATCCAACATCCAGGAAGAAGGGTGCAAATCACGGAGAAGATAATGATTTTAAGTTGTTTCTCTCTCTAGTTTGTATTCCCTCACTCTATGAATTGAACCCCTATGGTTGTTTAGGGGAGATGAATTCTAGCATGTAGCTAGGTTTTGTTGATTGAATGAGAACCTAGTCTATGTTTGTGTTCTATACTTCTATTAGAGTGATTTATACTTGTTTCCATGGTTTGAATGCATGAATGGTATATTCACATGTTTTTGCCCTAGGTCGATTCATGTGCGTGTATGTTAGTGTGTTCTACCTAAGTTAGATGATCTAGGATCATAATTGGCGAATGAGGTGACGATCCCCCTTCTAATTAGGACCCCACCTAGCTTATGCTAGTGAGGTGAGTGCGTGACTATCGAAGCACCAGACTAGTGTGAGGATGGGTATAACCCGTTTAGAGGAGGTAGACCTTACTTCTAGTTGTGGTGAAATTGGGTCGGTGGACTTGGCTAGAAGGAGGATCAGTGTCTTGACCAATGCATCGGTCCTAAGTTTAGTGACCTTCGAACCACAATGAGCTAGGGTTTCATCAATCGCGTCCCTATCCTGCTAGTTTGGGTACCTCATTTATTTGTGTGTGAAAACTAGGAAAACAAGCAAAAGTCTAGACATCAAGCTTGGATTTTCTCTCCGACGATCATGTTAGCGAGGAAATCTAGAATACACGGTGTAATTTGGGTGGAATGCATTACTTTTGGCGGATTTGAGTAGATCAATTTTATTTTTATAGCCTGACAGGCCAACTACTATCTGAGAACTTATGCTCATTTATAGCCATTGAACTAGGCCAGTTATGACAGTCGTTACCAATCGTTGGTATCCTTGACCTTTAATTGCTTCAACCTTACCAGAACCTGTAGCGTTACTGCAAAGAACCCATGGCTCCACCAGGCATCTCCTTTTGGGGAGAGCCCTTCATTTCTTCTAGGCTTATTGGAAACCCTCATCCAATTTTTGGGAAATTGCTTCATTATAGAAATCTAAGAGAGTTGTCTATTCTAAGATGAATTACAGGAAGTAATGAAACTATTTCCTTGATGGACAAACCTTGGTTTTCCACCTCCTTTGGAGTATTATCTTCAAACAATAAGTTTATGTTTCAAGGAAATCTGGAGAGCAAGCAACTCTGGAAGCTCCCCAAAATTTGTATGCATCTGTAACATGACAAGGTTCCAAAACTATAAAGGGGACAAGATTTCTTACCACAAAATTAGGATCATAGTTTATTAGTTCCCCCACGTCACAAAGAGAACCGCTCGTTAGCTGGGTTTCCTCATATAGAGCTGCAGAAGAGAGGTAAATCTCACCTTGTCTTGTTCTTCCAGAAATGAAATGTTACATATGCCAAGACAAACCAAGCTCAGGGCAGAAAGGGATAATGCCTTTCCTTTTCCAAGGTAGGGATGAACAGCCATGTGTATATCTTCAGAAAGTTTTAGCAAAAGAAAGGCAACAAAATGCATTGCTGTGATGTAACTGAACCCTCCTTCTGGACCACTGTATATGCTGTCTCTGTTATCTGCTGTAAGCCAAAGCCATGCAATACCATACCCATGTTCTACTTGTCTGCATCTCTTCTAAAGGATAAAACAGTCCCCAGCTTCCTCATTGCTGGTCTCTGTTATCTGATGTAAGCCAAACCCATGAAATTTACCAGAGCTTACAGTTTCTTCAGTCAACAGCCCAGAAGAAGATATAAGTATAAGAAAAAGTTCTGTATATTTGCCATCTCATTGCTGAATTATTAGCTGCAGTACCATGTACCACGCTAACATACATAGAAAAAAAGAAAGAAACCCTCGCAAGAAATCAGCTAATAGTAAGGCCCTACATCCTGATTCCCGACCTTAGGATACATACTATGGTACGTTACAATTTACAATATACGATGTGATATGATACTGATCAACGACCATTCTGTATGGGGAAACACGACTAGAGCTCGGTGTGAACAATTTCCTGAAAGGTGGCTTCTGAAACTTCAATAATATCAGATGTGGAAGTGTAGTCCTTGTCGTGGGAGGTTAGGCAGTCGATCGAAGGATGAACAACGCCATATCCAAAGCCTTGAGCAGAGTTGCAGTAAGTCTCTACAGTGCCATCTTTCCCCTCTAAGTTGACGTTGCTCAGGACTATGTTGCTGCAAGGTACTGTGTCACTGCATGCAAACTTCATGGCTTTCGGACTTTTGGAAGTCCCACTGATGTTTCGGTACATGATCTGGCTTATCTCCACTGCTGCTGTCTGGTGTATATACATAAGGGTACTTATTATTGGAGGATCAAAAGAAAAATGCAAATTTGATCAAAGGCTCCGATTGTCACAAATGCAGAAATGAGATTCCTTGAAGCCTACACACACACGCACAAAAAATGTACCTGGTTTTCACAGGACTTGGGCGAATCACAATAGAACTGGTCAATGATGATGGGGTTGGCTACATTCTCCATCTCCACGTTTTCATAACGTATCCCGCGCACATAACCATGACCACCCTATTAATGAGAGAATAGTCGAGATTACTGCCTCGAGTTTTTGGCATCAAGGGCGCTATCGAAGCATTAAATTAGAGTTTCGATTGTTTCATTTCTGTACCTGCCAAGTCTTGATCCTGAGGCCATTGGTCGTCTCCCGGAGCAAAGCTGTGTCGAGAACCACTTTTGTGACAATGTCAGTGGAGTTGTCCTTTCCAAGGCTCCCGATGCTAAGTAAAGTTGCAGCGAGAATAGAAGAAGAAAAAAACCTGTTAAGCATAAAGCTGACTTCTTTAACCGTTGGCGTAGAAAATTTAAATGTAAAAAATTGGATGATACCTGATGCCATGTCCTGGTCCGCAATAGAGTCTCTTCATTTTGATATTGGAGCTACCGTTGACAATTGAGACACAATCATCTCCTGAATGTTGCAAGTGAAAACAGAGAGGAAATTAAACCTTTCAGTGCATATTTCTATTAGCATACTTTGGTGTCTATGAAAGCTAAGGAATTAGCTGCACTCCCTAGTAAACTTTTAACTAATTAACTAATGAATATTCGGCATAAGAAAGTCACACACATGGTTGGTTAAATGGTTGAAGAAGAACAAACCTGTTCCGATTTTGCTATCTTGGAGAACAACATTAGTGGACTCAGTTATGTGGATCCCATCTGTGTTGGGGCTGTCTCCAGGAGACGAAACTAGCACATTAGAAATTCGGACAGAGTTACACCGGGTAATCACAAAATTCATCTGTTGACTGTTCTTGATGGTTATCCCTGTAACTTTCACACCAGTGCTTGAATCAATAGTTAATGCCTGCAAAAGAACCATCAACCATCATTTTCTGACCCCTTAACTGCTACTAAACTGGATACTTCTAAGTCATTGATGTTTGTTTCAATGAGCTGTTAAGAAATCCAGTTGAAGTGAGAAAGAGCCGTACAGTTGGTGCCCCTTTGCAAGGCTGCAGATAAAACAGAGAGAGAAAACTGGATTAAGATTACTACATTTGGTTGGTCAACTGAAAGAAAGAGGAAACAAGAAAACCAAATTGAGAAGAAATACAAGTAGTTAGTGGATCAGTAGACTTACATTTGACTTGTTCTTCTTACAAGAAGCAGCCCACCACTTGCTGCCTGAGCCATCAATGACTCCATTTCCTTGAAAGATAACCCCATTCAGCTTGCTAAAATCAAGCCATAATCTTGCAAGCTTTGGATCCCAGTTTGCAGGTTCATCAGGTGCCACTATTGTTCCATCAATCTGAAAATCATAGTGCAAGTAAACACTTGATGACGATGATCATGCAGTTACTACTTGACAACTTCTACACCAAACTCCCCATCTCATGGCACCAATAGTAACAATCCTGAAATGCAATCCAACAATAGTAGTTTATCTGAATGAGCGTCCAAAAGGAAAGTACCTGAATGATTAGCTTATCCGCACAAGGTCCTTTAAATTTTGTTGCATTTACTAAATATTGACGACCTGGAGGGACCAAGAAGACTGCTTTTGTTGTGTTGCACGCCGTGCTCCAAGCATTCACAAATGCCTGGTGATGAGGAAATAAAACACATTCAACTCTTAAGGAACCAATGTCAATACCAGGAAAGCGGAAAATTGTTCATTGTTTAACTGAACTGGATTATTTTATAATCCAATTTCCGTCATTGAGTAACATCACATTGTTAAACCAGATGACAAACTGAGGAATAACAGCTGATGAGCGATGAGTGGCAACCTTCATATTCAAAGCCATGGTCCATTCATAAGCATTCAAATGGAGATCTAGAGATGAAAGATGACATCGGAAGACAATAAAAGGAGCACAATTCAAGAATACAAGAGAGATTACTAAACAGACCTTAGTGTCATCAGAAACTCCATCTCCAACAGCGCCAAAGCTGTCAACGTTCACAAGAACTTGGCCTCCGCGTTCGCTTGTCCATGAAGGTACATCAAAACCTTCCACCCCATCTTCAATGTCAACGGTTTCAAGATCCTCAAGCATTCCAAGTTTGTCATATACCATGTTTCCTGCAACTCCATGGCCCACAATCAGCAAGCAAAGGAAAGAAATGAGGAATTTCCGGTCCATGATTTTTGTTTTGGCCTCTTCTGCTTGGTATGGGAAACTTAATTGATTTGCATAATTCTGAGGAAAAACATATAGTTTCAATTTATATGAATAGATTAGATATGGAAATACAAGTGGTTATGTGGGCTAATGGCTTGGCTTGAAAGTACATGAAGAACCAACATTTTCTACATGCCCACACTTAAAGTACAAGGGAAATGTATTTTTAAACTTCTTTGCTTTACTCTTCAACCAGTAAAAAGAGACCATTCAACCAGTTCTTTAGATTCTGCTTTTGGCTTCTGTCAGTTCTCCATTTAAGGCCAAATATAAAATACATTCCCAGTTGTGGTTCAGAAATAAAAGCACAATCTCAATTGAAGTTGACAGGTCAATTGCTCCATTGGGACCCAATAGGCCACCGCAGTAGTATATCTCAAGCAAAAGTAACCTTTTTTTGTTCGTGTATAAGATAAACACACACAACACACACACAAACATAAAAAATAATTTACTCACAGGGAAGGGAGGGTCCAGCTTCACGAACAGAAAGTTGAAGTATGCAGGGAGAAGATCCAAGACCCTCAAAGCTAACTAACTGCTGACAGCTAACTTGTTTTCAATAAATGGTCGATCATCTTATTCATCCTGTCGACAGCTATTGACCTCAACAAAACTGCGACCAGTAATCCGCCTTGTCATCGTCCTTCGTATACCAGTTTCTCTTATCTCCATTGACAAATCATATTCCCCAATGTAAGCATAGTAGTTTGATACCTGCAAATAGACAGCAAAATCCCTTGGTTCAAGATCCAACAAGACCTTTGCCGCCCTTCTTCCCACCATTTCGTTCTTATGATTCCTGCAGCTTTGCAGCAATGAACTCCACATCACACAATCACCAATTCCAGGAGCCTGTTGCAGCAACTCCTCCGCTTCATTCAACCTACCAGCACGCCCCAATAGATCCACCATACAGGAGAAGTGCCCTCTATCAGGAGATATCCCGTACAGAAGTTTCATCACATCAAAAGTCATTCTACCTTCTTCAACCAATCCAGAGTGGCTGCATCCAGTTAAGGCACATAAGAAGGTTACTTTATCAGGTGTCAGTCCTTTCAACATCATCTCTTTAAGAATCTCTAGCCCCTCCGTTCCCATTCCATTATGAGCATATCCACTTATCATCGCAGTGCAACAGATGACATTCGGCGAGGGAAGTTGTTCAAACACCTTTCGTGAGAGTTCAATGCAACCGGACCTCGAGTATGCATCAATCAAGGAGGAAGAAACGGCAACATCAGTTTCGAAACCTAGTTTTAAGGCACAACAGTGCACCAAACTGCAGCTGACCAAGCACGAGAAACCAGACTGTGATAAAGCTTTCAGCACCGTAGAAAATGTAATCTCATCCAGACCAGTTCCTTCATCAACCATTAAACCAAACATCTCACAAGCATCCTCGACAATGCCACAGTGGAGTAAAGAGATAATCAATGTGTTGCAACACTCCAAAGTTTTATCAGAGACATATCCATAAACAGACACTGAACTCTCAATATCCCTGCATTTCCCATACATATCAATCAACGCAGATTGAACATGGCAACTCCCCACAAGAAACCCGACTTTAAAGACCCAGGAATGAATTTGCTTCCCAAGCAGAATATCTGTAGTTTTGCTGGAAAAATTCAAGAACCCAACGAAGGACCGAATGGATGGCCTCTTCCCATGAAATTGCATTGTATGAAACAGTTCAACGGCTTCAAGCACTGATCCATCATTTACAAAAGCTGCCAACATTGAATTCCATGACAAAACATCTTGAGCTTGAATAGTTTTGAAAGATCTCTTGGCATCAGAGAAAAGTCTACAAGCTGAGTAAAAATCCACCAAAGCATTAGCGACGAAAATGTTTGATTCTTCCCATCCAGCCTTGACCACATGGCAATGCAGCTTTTTCCCTTCGTTGGAAAACCTCTCGTCACAACATCCACGAATCAAATAGCAAAAAGTAACCCCATTTCCCTCCACCCCTTCCAGTCTCATCCTATTATGCAGTTTCAACAACAACTCATCACATCGACCCAGTTCAGAAATCCCACGCAAAACCAAATTCCATGTGGGTAAGTTTCTCACAGGCAATTCATCAAACAAACCTAAACCTAGATTCTCAAGTCCTACATGCATGTAAAGACCAACCAGTGAACTCCCAACAAACACATTACAACCGAACCCAAGCTTAACCACCCTACAGTGGACCTGAATCCCTTCCCAGAAAAACTTCGCATCATCGCTACATATACTCAACACAGAGCAAACCGTCGATTCACTCTCTCTGATACAGTGAGAAACCATCTCGTGGTATAGCCACAAAGCATGCCGTAGGACACCGTATTTACGATGCCCAGAAATCAGCAAATTGTAAGAGACAACATCCCGTGTAGGCATTTCATCGAACACCTCCTGAGCAACCACAAACTGCCCGGATTTTATCAAGCTATCAACTTTCTTGTTTAGGAAATAGACAACCTCGTGAGGGTAGGGTTCACAGTACGATTCCACCTGCAACCTAGCGGCTGACGGCGGATTCTTGGCTCCTAAGGTTGTGATGGTTCGCACACCAAAAGGCAGCAACTTTCTGCCTTTCATGGCCGCTGTGGCTTCTAATACAAAATAACGCACGTGATATGCCCATAACATGTTCTCGCACTCCAATCATCAACCTTAAATATCCAGAGTCCGCAATCCCAATTTGCCGCCAGCCGTGCACAAATCAGAGGAGGCGACGATTTCAACACAGAGAACCGTGTACGTATCAGCGCTTTCTAGAGAAATAACGTCGAGAATTGCAAGAGACCGTCCCGAATAGGCATTTCATCGAACACCTCTGAACAGCCGCAAACTGCCCGGGTTTTATCAAGCTATCAGCTTTCTTGTTATACAGAGAGAGAGAGAGAGAGAGAGAGAGAGAGAGAGGTTCTGGATTCAGACGAGAAATCACAAGAAAGAGGGGAGCTTTAACAATGGAAACTAGCTATCTTTTGCTTTTTATTATTACGATGGTGAGGCAACAAAGCCGATTTTGCTTGGCACCTCAATATGACATAGTACAACAACAACCCATACAAGCTTCGGGAAACGATTAGAGCGAGCTTTTCCAATGGGATAGGCATATTATTAACATGTTGATCCAATAGCCTCGACAACAGAGGCCACGAATTGCATCTGGGTTTCCTCATCAATTCTCGAGAAAAGTGGGACATGAACAAAAAGGGATCTGTGGCCCTTCTGCTGGGCATACCGCAGGGAGTGGTAGTACACGTAGTTGCACACAAATCGGCCAGCATCGTCCGATATCGTCACGTCGAAGCCCTTCTTCTTCAACAACTTCAGGATTTCATCAATGGAGCAACAAGTCTTCTCCAACCCAAAACAGATAAGAAGAAAACCAGAGTGAGTTTAGGAGGAAAAACAGAATAGCATGAAGTTAGGGGTGGTAAAATTGAATACCTCTCTTGCAGAGGTAGTTCCTCCATCTTCCAGGATGATGGGGCAGTTCTGAGTAAGAAGTTACGAAAAAAATGTTAAAATAAGCAAGCATCAGAAGTGTAGAACTAGAAATTGCAATTATATGAGACCGAGACTGAGAATCAGACTGAGAAACACAGCAGTCATGTACCTGAGGTTGCCATCCCATCTCATCTGGACATCGAAATGTGGCTTCGTTCACTGCCTGTCGCTCAATGGCGAATTTCATTGCACCACTGTTCACTCCCAAGTGAAGCTGAATAAGTGAACATTAAGAAAGATGTTGAGCATTATTTTCCGCAAAGCTGTAGAGAGAAAGCAACGATGAAGAGCAATTAAGTAAGATGTTCACTCCCAAGTACAGACCCAAACAACAACTGGCTCATTCTTTTCAGCATTCATAGTATTAGTTGCAGTGCTCGATTCTAGGGTCTGGTAGAGCATGTCACGAGCTCCATCTCCAGCAGTTTCAAGAACCGTGCAGCTCCCTAGGGTAACGCCAGCGGGCAACCCTCGCTTTGCCACATAATCCTTGAGCTTATTCACTATAGTCTCCGTGGGATTCAGGGCAACCCCTTGAAATTTCTTAAATCCAGTTACATGAATCACTACAGCCTTTGGTCCTTCGGATCCCATCTCTTCGTGGGCAAGAAGAGCACAGTTACCAATTTTCTTGCCGATGGTAGGTCTAGCACCTCAGCCTACAAACAACAAAGTTCCATTTGGCATCAACACGTTATAATCAAAAAACCTAACCTGAGAAGCAAAAATGTCCCATCTGGGTAAAGAATATAAACTAGAGCAAGATCCCAGTTTGGCCAAAGAATCACTGGGAGGAAACCCACATGTTGGATGCTGCTTCCAGAACCACTCATCCAAATATCATGCAATAAGTTACTCCTATTCGAGCTCAACAGTCATCAGATCAATGATACGAACAACTGATAACAACAAACAATGATCGGGTACTCGAAAATATGCAAAAGGAAGAGCTTAAATCCTAAACCCTCGATCACAATTCAACTTGTTTCCTATACTAAATTCACAGTCAGTAATTCAACTCCTGAATCAGAAGAGCAAGATTTCCCTTTCTCCTTCCAACATAAACGACAAAAAAAACGCTGAAGAAACCTCCTATCAGAAACCAGAATTCAACTACACAATCAAGAGAGAGCTTAAAAAAGGAAACCCACGAATCTCCCTAAAAAATGATTCAACTTTACCGCGGAATTCAGAGAGAAAGCAGAACCCTTCTTGAAGGAGAAAAAGAAAGAAAGTAGGAGAGAGCCAAGCTCGTCCTTTGGACCTCAAATGGCGAAAGAGGAGACGACCCAGCAAACGCAGGTAGCTAAAGACCGACAAGACACAGTACAAAAAGCAAGTGGGGGCGAGGAAGTCTTCTTCCTGTGGCCTAGTCTAGTGTTTGTCTGCACTCCTCCACTCCTTCGTGCTTTCTGGAATCCACAAGCTTCTTTGCCGTACAAACACAAAACATCTATGATCTATCCCAATTTACAAATGGAGGAAATCAATAATTCTTTGCGTTTTGATAAAGGGAAGGGAAAGGAGTAGGACAAACCGTTTGCCAATCCCACTTTCTCCTTTTCCCGTGAAACCAACCCACAGCAATTTCATTCCCGTTTCTGACTTACGTATTAGCTTCTTCCGCCAAATTTCCTTGTTTTTTCCCCCAAAGAAATGCAATCCTCGTTTTCTAATGCTTGGATTGGGATTGATCATTGTGCGGTGGTGTACTCTGTACTGTAGTGGAGGAGACCGGCTGGAACTGGTGGTGCAACGTGGCTAGACTTGATTAGTATGGCCCTGTTTACTTTTATTTTCGTTTCTCTAATTCGGTCGAAATAGAGAAGAAATCATGTCATAAAATGTGAGACTAAATCTGAATCAAACATACATTTGGTTCGAGCGAGAAACCACGACATTTTTGTAAAGGATTTCTCTTTTCCAACCGTATCTAAGTTTTTCTTATATTATGAGAGCAATCGATGTAGGTTGATCACTCTGACGATATCTTACCAGCAAACATCATCATCAAATAGTGGCGAGTCCTGGATCCAATCAGTTGGGTGGAAATGTCTAACAAAAATTACTCTAGTTTTCAATTTGGAACCAATGGTTTGATTAATAAGCAATTGCTAATTATGAAGCCATTGTCAACAGTTTCTAATGTCGTCGATGATTTATTGCATATGAACAAGAAATAAAGGTTAATGGAAGTAATAAGGAGGTTCAAACCTTGACATGGGTCGTAATCATTAATACTCCAATGAGTCTAAAGAAAGAGATCATGGTCAAGTTTTCGCAAATATAGAAGATTGAATAAGGAACAATTAGAGGAAGTTAGTCCACAAGTTGGAACCCTAAAACTTGTTGAATATGTATCTGAGTGAAGTTCAAGTGGAGACACAAACTGAAGTTGGATTCGATATAGTAGTGAAGGAAGCGATGTGAGTCATATTGCTCTTGGATTGACTCGTGAAGAGATGAACAAACTCATATGCATGCTGCAAATTGGTGCTAACATCACTGTACCCCACAACAACAACACGCTTCAATTCTCACAAACTTCAACTTGTATATGTCACCAAGCATATTACGTTTCCGATATTTATCATATTTTCCAAAATACTCGAGTAAATATGTCATTTCTCTTTTTCCAGCCATAACAGTAACCATCTAATGAATTAATTTAATCTCAGAAATAGGTGGATCATATTACATTTTTTGCTCTCTTGAACTCTATCTGTGTTAGTTATAGAGAAATTCGAAATGTTTTTGTTCATCTCCCAATTTCCACCAAGCTCTTAGTTACTCATGTAGAGGCTCTCAAGCTCTTTCGGGATTTGTACAATGTCTTTCTCGTACCTAGTTTCTCTCTAATATGGTGTTTGCAAGTCGTCTCACACATGATTTCCCTTTAGCTTTGCACTTTCATTCTAATCTTAGTAAAACTCTGCACCTTCTAAATACGACGATAACTGGTTTAGCAAGAGAAAATAACCTTTACCAGCTTACCTTTCCCAAGCAGCCACATAGTCAAAAGTTTTTCAACACTCGCAAGCAGCCACCACCATCAATTTCAACTCACACCAAGTTGACCATTGACATTGAAGATTAAGACATCCTAGTAATGACGGGATTTTATTTTCCAAAATATTAATTCCTTCGTAACCAACTTTAGAGTTGATCATTGTGATATATGTCATCTGCACAAACATAAAACACTTATTATCCCTATTGCATTAATGATGCAACTGAAAATTTTCTATTGATTTATGTTTAATATGTGGTGCTTTTTATTATTGTCGCTTATGATGGATATGATTATTTCTATACTTAATTGTTCGTGAGTTGTATCGGTGTATCTTATGAAACATCAAAGTGAAACAAGGGAATTGCTTAAAGGTTTTGTTATTTGATGAAAAATCAATTTGGTATAATTACTAAAACGACAAAAAGTGATCAGGGCAAAGAATTCCATATGAGTGAGTTTTACATGGAAGAAGTAATGGAACGCCAAAATTTCTATATGTATACTCCACAGCGAAATTCCAAGCTCATGAGGAAGCACCAGGACATTCCAAATATTGTTAGGTCTCCCTCATATGTTCCCGTCTCATATCCCACTATCGTACGAGATTGATTATGTTTCACGTTCCATTTATTTAGACAATAGATTTCTTACTTCCAATTCTATACAACAAATCACCATGTGAATTCTTGTACAAGAAGCCACCATTTTATTGAGAATTTGAGAGTATTTAAAAGTCTAGCTTATGCTAGTCCTTTTTTATGGAAGACCTAAGTTTGCTCCTCAAACAAGCCAATAAATTTTGTTAGGAATGTTGTCAATGCTTAAGGATTACAAATTATTGGATCTTGAAGATGATAGCAAGTGTCTGTTTTCAGGAATGTAGTATTCTATGAATCAAATAAAATACTTTTAGTGATCAAACATGAAACCTTTTAATAATCAGAGTGACTAAACTTGCAATTTGCCCTAAGAAATTGTGAATTTGTGATAGAACTAGGTCGTTTAGCATCAAAACGACAAGCCTCGTCAATTGGCCACTAGCCGCCCCACTATAGGATGGCCTTCCGGTGCCGGTGCGGTCTCTTCCGGCTTCCGCCGCCTCCCTTGTCCTTCTCTACCAATCAGAACCAGAAAAACAAAATAAGAGCGAAATCGGCTGCTGGGTCGCGGAAAGCAGAGGATCCAACCAGCCATGCCTCGCCACAAAGACGAGCTCCCCGCAGTTCGCGTTTACACTGTCTGCGACGAATCTAGGTCGTCGGCGTGCGTTTTTTCGACCCGATCTGATGCGGAAAATTCTTGATACGCGACTAATTCGATTTAGGTTTGTGCAGATACCTGATCGTAAGGAACGTACCTGCACTGGGTTGCGGCGATGACTTGCAGAAGCTCTTCGCCTCCTATGGCGACATTGAAGAGTAAACTTCTCAACAAGAAAGAAAAAAAAAGTTCTCTCCTTTTTTCCTTCCGGTGGTGGTTGAGTTGTCATTTCTTTTGTAGGCTTAAACCGATGGACGCAGAAGATTGCGAGCCATTTACAGACGTGTACTGGATCAAATTCGGTTTGGTTAGCAATGCCAGGTTATAACTGCTGCTTCCCCACGGGTTCCTGTTTTGTCTAACCATATACCACAAAAGATTGGGACTTTGAGAGCCGGTTAAGGAAATTGAAGTAGTGCTGATGCAGGTTTGCGAAAAGGAAGCTGGACGAGCATGTCTTCTTGGGGAACAAATTGCAGGTTTCGTATGCTCCACAGTTTGAGAGCCTCTCAGATACCAAGGACAAGCTACAAGGCAGAGCTAATCAAGTTCTTGCTCGACTCAGCCGGGCTGGAAAATCTCCTATCCAGCCTCCCCATTTCTCTTCTCACCCACTATCTAACTCCAATCGATCCCGGTATGCTCTTTGCTAATGGAAACTCATGTGCTGTTGTTCTAACTTGTGTGGTTAATCTCAGCACATACAATATATGACCCATTGGTTGGTTTTCTCTAGGGATGTACGAGAATTGGAAGGCTTTCCCCGGGCAAATGATCCGCCCCTGAAAAGGGTTTCTTCTGATCAGGTCTGCAAATCCGTTTAGTTCTTCTCTGCATCCCTTTCTTTCATGCTGGAGTGTTGAAACGAAGGTTAGTCCGTGGATACTGAATAGCGAACCATCATCTGTTCTGCTTTTAACAGGATTACTTCCCATCACAATCCATGAACGAGACGGTTAATTTGGTCAGGAAGAAGCTCGATAAGGTATTGCTGTACATTTCTTTTCCTCTTTTCCCATTCTGTTGGACATAGCACAGCATATTTGGTAATGAAAGTAACTTTGCGTTGGTACTACCACATTTGTTGTTACAGATACAGTCAAGTTCAGACCAGCAAGCTGGAACTGCACCTAAGAAGTTACGAGTGGACAACAGAAGACGAATCTAGATGCTGCTGCTTAGTCAAATTTGTTTGTGATTGTTACTCGTGCATGCCAATATCAGTGTCTCATAAACAGACGATTTGGTTCTTGTTAAGCTTTGCTTTAATCCCTGACCCCAATACACGGTTTTTAACCTACTCACAGAAACTAGACTCATTTTAAATGCCACAGTTCAAGAAGTTGTAAAGTTGCCCAATCTCTAGTTTCTGCATTTTCTATGGCAGCAGATGCACTTGCAAATCAACCTTACCGCTAAGGCTAACATCGTCTCCAATGGCAGAAACTGAGAAGAGCCTTTTTTTCCACCAAAGCTGTATAACAGCAGAATGGCTACCTTCTTTCCATGGTTTAAAAAACAAGCACTCTTGACAGTTTTCATAATAGAGGGGGGAAAAAGATGGAATAGAAACATACTTTACTCGAACTCCATTTTCCCAAAAATAAACAAGGTTACTCCAAATACAACTTTTGTAATACCAGGAAAGACCCTGCATGAGGTTTGGTTTTTCTTTTATCACAGAAGAGAGTTAGGATGACCCTTTTTTTCCCCTTTCACATTTGAGTGACATTTCAATTTTTCATAATTTAGGACAAGTATACTTGGATGCTGGTAGTTTTGATCAACTGGCATACAGGGCAAACATTGACGAACATGTCGCAGTCTATACATAGGCACAGATGCCTGCAAGGCATTAACAATACCGACACCTCCCTTGCTTTGCATGCTCTGCAGGTCATATGCTCTTTAGAGCCACCTCGCCGAGAGAGAGGCTTTGATGAAGGGCCACAACCACCTATTGTCATCTTCAGGTAGTTGTTATTAGGATCAATGCAAGAGGCAGCATCATCAAACTCACTGTCCCCAAATCCTTCTTTTACTTGATCAGCCCCCTGAGCAATTGCCTGCTGGAGATTGGTCTTGAGGACATTGGCCAGTGATTCGTTGTTCTTTGCCTTGTAGTACCAATTCTGGGCTTCTGTCGCCACTTGTTTTATTCTGTCAATCAATTCCTTGTTTCGACGGTTCATATTCTCTATCTCTATGTCTTTCTCCCGAATCTTCTTTGCAACACCCTTCTCAATAGCACCAAGAAATGAGGCAACATGTCTCTGTTTCATGTCCCTCACTCCCTTAGCCAGGTGCTCCTCCTGTTTCATCATATGGAACCATATCATCAAAAAGAATGACACACTGACTAAACAACACTTCCGAGAGCCCAAGACGTTTAACACCTGTCATTTCTTTTTAATCAATCAACATTAGGCTATATGAAAACATAACAGAGGGAGACATCACATCCACAAACAGTATTATACTGGCCAAAATCAATGATCCAGAGAGATGATACTGAAGGACCCCAGTTATGTTAGGTTGGAATGAGGAGGGTGGCATAGCTGAAGAAAGGTTTTCAAAGACAATGGGGTCTACCAAACAATACAGGCATTAACCAAGGGAGGGGACATTAAGAACAAGAGAGTACCTGAAGTTTGATATATTGATCAAATTCCTCTTTCTGGCGATCAAGCTCAGACCGAATATTGTCCCCAAGGGATGACAAGATCATTGAAGGTCTTGCTGCTGCCATACTCCCACTTGCTGAAGTCAGAGAAGAGTTTCGTTCATCGTCGTCATATGATAGTCGTAACCCAGTTGACACAGCATTAGGGTTGTTCGGAACACTTGCTGAGCGGTCAGCTTCATCTTTGCAAATGTTATAGTTCAATGAAATTTGGAGCTTTTGTTGTCTACTAAAGTCTTCTGGCTCCCTGCTTCGTTTATTGGGCTGAAGCATAGGAGAGATATGCTCATTTCCAAAATAGTTTACAGCATCAACGTTACATCCAGCTGGCACTGACACACCACACGTTTAGAAGATATTATCAGTAAAATATACTTTCCCAAACAAGGTTAAATAGCCAACCTAACATTCAAAAAACAAAGACACAAGTTTTAACTCAACAACAAAATAGCAGCAAAGTATAAGTACTACATTAGGGAATACAATATCCAAAAAAAAAAAAAAAAATTAATTTTGACTATTTCAATCGGTACTAGATGAAATCCCTGTTGCGGATAAAAAACAACATGCTGTATAGAGAATCAAGATCTTGACTCGATTGTCCAGCCAAAACCTTCTACAAAAACACATTGCTCGATGAAGGGTGCTTCTAATGTTTTTTGACTTTTTTCACATGCATTCATAGTTACAGATATGATGCCAGGCAGCACCACAAAATAAGAGCAAGGAAGCCAAAGCTTAACTGTGATGGTATCATAAAATTGCAACTCACAATTACCAAATAACTGCAGCTGGTTTGAAGCGTTGTTCTGATAAGGAATGCGGTTCTCATCCAGGAAAACTGGAGCAAGGGGATTGCCGCTATTCCCTCCCAGCATTTTCCGCAATCTAATTTATCATAAACTTCAAAGGCTTCGGATTATAAAAAAGATTCACCCTGCAAAAAAGCAGAACAAAGTCACTTCTAAAAATACACTTCACAAAGTGACAAGCAGCAACTAAACTAGTTATGGACTTCAACCACCGTTGCTACAAGCCAATTCATAAATAAATAAAAGTTAATCTAGTTATTAAGATAAAACATGTAGAAATCCAATTATATATACCAAAGAAGAAAACTGCCTTATAAGTTCAGGTGCTCCTAGACACGTGTCGGGCGCAAATAGAAAGGTCGATCAAGCATTGACGAATCATGATCCAGATGCCATCGATCAGCATATAAAAAGGAAAACAGAGAAAACTAAAAGCTCAGTCAAAACGGGCTTCCACTTCTGAGCCACTAATGCTCGAGTTACGTGGCAACCAATAAAGAACAAAAGGCTGGGAAACAGCTTTGGCATCCGTTATCGTCCGTACCAAAGAACATTCCTAACCGTGTAGTAACTGTCTTACGAATCAAAATAACGCTTGCAGGTCTCATTGTCTCAAGCACATTTCGGAAGACATTACATGCACAAGGTTGCATCCCATCAGGCACCTGATTGTCTAGTACACTATGTGCAATTAAGCTTACAGTCTGAGTCATGCACCCAGATGGAGAGGGACTTCACCACAAGTCTAAGAAGGCTGAAAACCATGCTAAAAAGTGCAGAAAGAAACAATGAGGTAAGGTCATCCAGACATCAGACCACTTAGCTCAATGTGATCAACAACTCACTTTCTCGTATCCCTCTGTGAAGGAAAGACATTTGCTTTGCAAAGGATACCAGTTCCATCAAATTTACATTCACTGATGAAATGGTCCCCAAAAGAGAGACGAGATTAAAACCCTTGAAATTCAACGAAGCAAAAATTATGCAAAACTTTGCTCGGACACTGAATAAGACTGAAACCCAGATGAAACTCCAGTTCAGTAAGTAGTAGGATCAAGGGAGAGTGAAACAAAATAACAAAAAAAAAAAAAAAAAGCGATGTCCAGGAAATGGAGGAGCTTGAGCAAGGCCTAAGAGTGAATAACGGAATGCAACGGGCAGGGTGCGGGAAAACCTAAGAATCTGAAAGATTAGATCTTCATGAAGAACCCAGCAAATCTCTCAAACCCCCAGAATTTGTCCAGCACTCTAAAAGGAAATAATCGGAAAAAACCAGCCGAGATGGCTTTCATCCATACATATACACAAACTAAAAAGAGAGGTATGTTTACCTTAAATATGAAGCACCTTTGATTTGGTTTCAGCAACAGATCCTGCAAAATTTCCATCAACGGTGTCAATGATCGCCTCAAGCAAAGTAAAAATAACGAAGAAGCGGAAAGCAGAAGTAAACCCCAGAAATCAAATTGTTCCATATCCCCATACAAGCAAGTAAACAAAACAGAAAAAGATGAGACCTTTGGAATCGGGGAAAAAAAGGAACAGAAGGCGATGATCAGGTTATCGAGAAGATCTGAGGAGACCCAGAAATGCACCGTTGCAGATAGTTTGGTGGGCAAACACGAGAGGATGATGACGACGATGATAACAAAGACGCGGGAGGGCGGTGGTGGTGGTAGAGAAAAAGGAGGGGGGAAAGAAGACAAAAGAAAGTAGGGAGGGTGAAGAAGAGAGCAGATGATGGTGCGGTGGAAGTAGGGAAGGAGGCGAGGCAGGCAGAAAGAGGGAGGTGGGAGTTGATAGATGAGAAAACGGACGAAAACCCTCCCCCGAAAACAGAAGAAAAAAAAGGCTACCCAACAAAATAAGAAGAAAAAAAAAAGAGTAATAATGGAGAGGAGAGGAGGTAAGCAAAGCAACAGCGAGGGTGGGAAAGAAAGGTCCGGGGCGGGCGAGGGTAAGTAATGGCAGAAAGAAGAAGAAAGGAAGGGAAATCGGGCAGCGGGCGGGCAGCGGTTTCTGGACTGGGGCTGGAAGGAACTACCTGGCTACGCAATCTAATGCGGGGTCAGTTAAATTTCACGAGTGAGAGAGACGATGAAAAATACAAAACATTTTATTTTATGCGTTTATTTAATAAATAAATAAGTAATGACAATAATGGAAATTGATAGGTAGACGATAGAGTGGGAATTGAATAGAGACGGGAAGGGAAGAGCTTCGTGACCGCAATCAACAAAGGAAAATGGGTCCCACTCCACTCACCCACGCGCCGTTAGATTGCCAATTCAATACAGTTCGATTCATTTGAAGAAGGCGGATAAATTTAAAGAGAGAGGTTACGCGGCAGCGGCTGTATTTCAGTTAATATATTACCTAATTTGTCTAAATAAGATTAACTCGATAGTCGTATTGTACAAATTAGCGAGATGTTATTTTAGTGTTACATCGTGATTTAATCAATAAATATACTCATATAATATTGAAGTTGAAATGAAATAAAATAAAATAAGATATTCAAAGGGTAATATATTAATGCAATATTGACAAAATCGACAAATAGTATTGAGGATCGCTGAAAATTGGTTGTCAATATATTTTATAATGTTTATATATCATATATATGTCTAAACAATGATAGACAATTTTTACGGTTATATTGCAATTAGGGCTGCAAATGAGCCGATCTGAGCCGAGTTTTACCCCAGCTTGAGCTTGACTCGTTAACAAATGTGTTGAGCTCGAGCTCGAGCCATTTATTAACAAGCCGAGTCGAGTCGAGTTCGAGCTAAGCTTGTTTACTAAATTCTTAGATCGCATTTGATACATTCATTTTGTATGTCGTGTATGATACATGTGATTGATGTAACGATAAATAAATAATCAAATGTTCAACATTAATTAATCTTATATTATAATTTGTAGGTGTCATATTGTTTAGTTAATAAATTTTAACTAGTTCAAATTATGTTATTTCATAGTATCGAAACAATTTTGTACATAATTTCTTTATAGAATTAAAAATAAGCATATTTTCTTACATGTTCAACATGTTAAACTTCACATGATGTGAGATATATAATTTAACAATCCTATGAATTGTGAAAGTCCAAATTTGATCGATTCGTCCATAAGTCGGTGATCAAGTTGGCCATCAAACCACAATGTTGAGACATCTCATGAGCTCTAAATGAGCCAACTCACGAGTTGAGCTCAACAAGCCACTGAGTCGAGTTAGCTCGCGAAGCAAAGCTAAGCTCAAGCTTGGCTCAATAGTAAACGAGTCGAGTTTCGAACGAGTTTTTCCCGATTCGAGCCTCGAGTTGCTCGGCTCATTTGCAGCCCTAATTGCAATATAGCTTAGTTGAATAGAATAATACATTGATTTTATGAAATCCCAAAAGAAGCTTCTAAAGTTAATTCAAAAATTTCAAATGACAACTTCACAATTGGGTTCGACCCAATCGAGCATCGGAAGTTTGGAGTGAAAATCGGTCAAGTTCAGGTAATGTTCGTGGTAATTTGAAAAGTTCATGGATCACTATCGTAATTTTCCTCAGAGTACAGAGTCAATAGTGTTGACTGGAAAATTACGGAATCGGTATCTGGTAATTTGAGAACTGATGGAATGTTTATTTTGGCCATAACTCGATCAATTGACCTCCGATCGATGAACCGTCTGCGCCTAAGGAATCGTGGAGGCGAGGAGATTATTTTGACAGCAAGTATGGAATTTTTAGAGCAGAATCAGAGTCATTTTTTACGGATATGAGGTGAGTGTAAAGGGGGTAAATTCTGCGCTTTACGTATCCTTTCAAGTTTTGCTAGTTTTAAATATTTTGATGAAGTGATTGTTATTGTATGATTGTGTTTATGACTGGTGATATGTGTGTGGTTTGAGCTTCGCTTGAAGCGATTATGTATGAGTTATTATTTACTTTAAAGCTTTTATATTAACGAGTTGTTATTAAGGGTTAAGAAACAAGTTCTTTTAAGAAGTACTTCACTTTCAAGTAGGTGGAGTCATTTTAAGAGTTTATAGTTACTAACGTTAGTCCGTTGCCGTTGAGATTTTGTGACAGAGCAGCAGGTATGCTCTTGAGACTTTTAAGATGAGTAGCAGTTATGCTCTTGAGAATCGTGGTGAAGAGCCACCACGATAAGTTTAAGATGGTAGGGGGATGAATCGTTACGACTCCCCTAACTAAGTTTAAGTTTAAGGAAAGCCTAGATGGCTTCTCGTATGTATGAGTTGGGCAACCGGACTAGCTAGTGAGGGATCTCAGTTTCAATCAAGTATTTAATTCGAGATTTGAACTTGAAAAATGGAGAGTAACAGTAACTCCCATACAGTTTTAAAAGTTTGATATTTTAAGATTGGAAGTATAAACAACTTCCATCAGTTAAAGACTTAAAGTTAAGTGTTTAAGTAAAGTACTCAAGTATTAGAGGTTTTAAAACCTAAGGGCGTAGACTGACCCCATCTCGGTAGTAGCTAGTTAGAGGAGCAGTTAGAGAGCAGCGAGATCGAGAGAACGGTTCGAGGTAAGCTAGCTAGAGGAGGACGATTCGCACGTCACGGAGGATGCCTAGTCAAGGTTTTCAATAAGCGGCAGCATTAGAGACTTTTTAGTTATTTCATTTTATGATTATGAGTATAGACTGGAGATTCATATTAAGATTTTATGATTGAAGTTAGCCCAAGTGTTAGGGCTTTGTTTTAAGAAATTACAGTTTATTCTGAGTCTTTGTTAAAGTTAAAGTTATTTATGAAAAGTTTCCGCTATTTTCCCAAGAGTTTCCAATTATTATTTGTTTCATGGTCTATAAAAAGAGTATTTTAGTAAAAGTAGTACCCGGCGGGGTTAGGGTGTTACAACGGCTTCTTCCTTCATCCATGAATCTCTCCTTCACAACCCTTTCTTGGGGTTTCATCCGCCCCAAAAATTACCTATGGTTTTCATCTATTCCACCTGGGAGAAACAAGAAATTTGATTGATTGGGTATTTGGGTGGATATACAGAGGTTGTCAGTGATGGCTAATAGAAATAAAGAAGTGGTGTTCAGCCCGGGCCTCAAGGCGGGCGCCAAGGGTACATGAATTCACCGGCATCCCCGCACCGTCCTTCTCTGCCGCGTCCCCTTACTCCGGCCTCGACCTCTTCGCCTCCTCCACCCTCAGGTCTGCCGTCGGATTCGACTCCATCTACCCGATCCTATCCGCCCCCCACCCACAATCTACATCACCTCCCTCCCATCATCGTTCGCTTCCTCCCATCCATCCAATACTAATACCAACAGTAGTGTGATCTTGCAAACATATAAAATAGTGAATATCATCTTTGATTATGATATTCTAAACGTTTGGCTGGTCGGTTCTGCCCAACTTGGAAATGCGACCGATTCAAGCACCATTCAGACCTGGTCGTCGAAGGGAATGCAAGAAAAATGAAGAACTAGAGTTCAGATCTAGAAAGGAAACAGGGATAAACCCTTATTTTGTTTGAGTGGTTGGTTCATGGATAGGTGGGTTGGTTTGGTTCAAGAATTTGGTTGGGTTGGGATGGACAAAATGACATGGAGGGTTATAGTGACATGGCGGGTCGCATTTCACTATTTTGTATTAAATTAGACTGACTTGACGATTCTGTCTGCCACGTCGGCACATAACGGTCTTGGTTGACGGAGACTAAAGGAGAGTGACCAAACTTGGACGTTTTACTAATTTTAGTGACCACGAATGGATTTAAATATTTCGAGTGACCAAACATGAACGTTTTTTTTTTTGTAATCACAGTAACCAACCATGCAATTGACCCAGAAGAAAAATAAAATAACATATTCAAATGGTAATATATTCATGCAATATTGACAAAATCGACGAATAGTATTGAGGATTGCTGAAATTTGGTTGTCATTATATTTTTTAATATTTATATGGCGTATATATGTGTAATCAATGATAGACAATGTTTACGATTATATCACAATATAGCATAGTTTAATAATCCATTGATTTTATGAAATCCCAAAAGAAGCTTCTAAAGTTAATTCAAAATTTTCAAATGACAACTTCACAATAGGTTCGGCCCATAGTTGTAAGTTTCATAGTCCAATTGATTCTCGTTTTTGCCTCATTTCCTTGTTTCTTATTTCATTTAGATAACATTTTCTATATGTTAACTATGACAACTATTTAGGTTTTTTTTAGGGTAAATGACACATTTGGTCACTGAGATTACTAAATCGTGTCATATTTAGTCAC